AAAAAATAATTTAGGTAGTAAGGCTGAAGGCGAGACGTTTGTTTATGGTTAGAAAAGAATAAAAACTAAATAAGCCAAAGAAAACATCTGGTGAAAAAATACAATTAAATTTTATCGTCACAGTGTGTAATTGTAATGAAGCAATCTTCAAAATTTCTCAAAGCGTATGGTACTATGGTTCAAATGTACGTTGTACATATGTATATAATCGTAGAAAGAGCTGCAATAACGACATAGTACAATTTGGTAAAATGCAATAAAAGCGTTACAAGTGTTTTGTGTGTCATTCAACTTACCCTAAAGCGGGAATTTTCACAGCTATTTAAGTACGTTTAATGTGATTGGGAAGCAATAATCTTTGATTTACAATAAAATTTTTCACATTTAAAATTACACTAACGGTTTTTTATGTCGTGAGCGCGGCCAAGCCGAGCGTGGACTAGTGCTGAAGACGTTCTCATGCTGTCTAGTAGAGCCGGCGCCTCCCCTCTCCGCGTCTTCGACATCATTCGTAAATGCAACGTATGCTGCCATATATTTAACCAATTATGTCTATGGTAAATCATGGTTTTTTAATGTTTTATAACCAATTATCATTTAAAAATAAAATATGTATGTTGAAGATAATATTTGTGTTAAATTTTTAATAGTGTTAAATTTGAAAAACGATTTATTCTAAAATTAATTTAACAACGTTGTAACATTCCGTTACAATGGGACTCTGACTTTACTCATGTGCTCTGGCCACTTAAGATATTGTAGAAACAAACTTGCAACTGCCAATTTATATACGGTATTTGCAATTAATTATCTTTTTTTTTTTATATCGAGTTCTTAGGTCTCGCGACTGTTACCCGTTGGAAATAAAACTATTTTCGGATCTAAATCGCCCATATTTGTTTTTCAAACAAACTAAGCTAAATATAGATCTAAAAAATGTTTCATTTCTAATATACAAATAAAACAAATAAATAACTTCTTCATCACAATTGCTCGTAAACAGTGTCATTATATGCAGTACTGTCGACCGTAATGTGCTAAATTATATCCATGGGGTTTTTCATTACATTACCGCCCTATGGAGATTACGTCAAGATTAAGCAAAATTACTTTATCCTCGATAAATCTGCCGAACGTATATTTCGGATAACTTGAGGTACAAAATAAATTAAACATTTGCCATTTAACTATCAGTTACTAAATTTATTTTGTGAATTCAAATTCTGCAGTATTTTTACGTTGGAAATTATTCATTTTATATCTAATATAATAACAATATAATAATAATAACGCACACACTCTTAACCCCGCACTAGGAAAATCCTATATCGTGGGTGCCACGGATACAAATTACACCTAAACTCACGAGAGAAGTAAATGTAGATCATACAAATATTTATCCCGGCCCGGGAATCGAACCCGGGCGTGGCAGTCCAGCATGATAACGGTTCGGCTACGGAGGCTGTAATACATTGTGGCTGCATGTGTCTGTGCGTTTTATAACATTTTAGTTCGAGTTGTTTTAATTTGACTGCCTCCGTGGCCGAACGGTTACCATGCCACGCAGAGGTCCCAGGTTCGATTCCCGGGCCGGGAGAAATGTTTGTATGGCTTACATTTATTTCTCTCGTGAGTTTGGGTGTAATTTGTGGTTGTCTATGTGTGTGTCCATGGCACCTGCGACACAGGGTTTCCCTAGTGCGGGGCTATGTTGAGTGTGTGCGTTATTATTATTATTATTATTATTAGTAAGAATAGCTGACTGGTTTTTTTTTAAACCGATTGGTTTAAAAAAAAAACAAAAAACCCGCAAAAAAAAAAACAGTTGGCAGTATAACTGCAGCGTCCTGAATGAGTTCTGTATTATTAACCATTCTTGTCAAAGAAGGATCTTAGCTAAATGTGTCACTACGGCGACCAACTACGAAGCGAGTACTTTGAGTGGCGCGGCGTCGCTAAACCGCGCGTTGACGCAGATCTGCGTCTCCGCTAACCACGCGCGTGATTCCGCGTCTCGCGCACCGTCGCGGGACGCGGTGCAGTGTGTTAATCGCCTATGGGTTCTGACGAAAAACATTACTTTTACCTAGTTCTTGGGGCACACACTTCACATATAGGTATTAAAAATGACTTACCTGCTACGTATTTTTCAGTTGTAGTTTCAGTTTCAAAATCGTCAATAAATTTTCCCATGCCTTTTTTTATCCAGTCGATTGGAATAGCTGTTGTTTTACATTCTCTATAAATTCTTCAATTCGATTTTCATCCATCGTGGTTAATTTGAAAAATTAACATGTACACCTCACTAACCGTGACTGCAGCGCGACTGTCGCGCGGCGGCCGCCGCGCGGTTGCAGCGCGTCTAACAGCGGCTAATTTGAACGCGCCCTAATGTTTTGTTGTGTACCAATATTTATTCATACGAGAAATAAATCATCGTCGTAGCTATTTCCTCGAAAATGTGATGAAAAACATTGTATGTAACACAATTGTAACAAAAAATTACAAACCTCGAGTCATTAAAGCCCTCAAGCCTTCAGCTTCGGGCAGTTAACAAACTCTCGTTAATATACAATGTACTATTCAAACTTTATCACTTGTTTTACAGGATAGGAAAACATTTTGTCGCAGACGTCACAAATTGACATAATATATCGTCGCCTTACTTTCTCAAACTCGTATCTTAAAGCACAAAGTAACTGAAATGCAAAAAATGCATTGTATATATAAATTTTCAGGTTAACATCACATTTTCAGTGTATCATTTGCAGAAAAACTGGACTGAAAAGTGAAAGTCGGCGCATTACCAGATAACTTTGTATGTTTCAACATCTGTTGAAAAATTTCAAAACCTCACGTCTCTACCAAATAGAATGTTTTGGAAAGTTGTTTTTCTCTCTCCTGTACAAAAGCAGTAGAGCTCTTTCTGAACAAGTTCGTCCAGGGAAGTACTGCCAACTTACCTACTTCTACCGCCAGTGTGAGCATTACTGCGTTCCGGTTTTACAGGGTAAGAATTGTTGGTGAAATTACACGCACATGCAACCAACTTGTCAACTTACATCTCAGGGTGATGACGGGCGCAGTTTTAGTGCCCTTCAGTTCTTTGAGATTTAAAGCTCTGGATGGCACTACAACTGCTATGGATACTTAGACAGGCATGTCGCTTACCACCAGGCGCACGACTTGTTCTCTTCGTTAGTTGGTACCATAAAAAAGTGGACATGCACTATTTGAATAGGAATCCGACGGACGAATTACAATAATTGATTGACAAAAGGAAAAAATCCAATACACCAGTAATCGCACTGCTTAACGACTTCAAACAAAAAGCGGTACCAATTCGGGGGTTAATCGCGTGTGGGTTTTTGTCCACAAACGGTTTTTGTCATGTCCGGTGCGGGTTACATGTTGACCTTTGGTCAGTTGGATTAGGGACTTTCGTTGTGGACGACTACGTTGGCTATTTTCACGTATTTGGACATAAACGTAATATAAAAATAAAAATGCGACCACAATAGGTATGGTTGGTATTTTAGTAAGAGTACGTTGTGATCGTCAGCTAATATCATTCTTATAAAAGTGTATGTAGTTCGTATAAATATAATTTAACGCGGTTTGCATTTTACATTACTTCACGCCCTTTTCCCATCGGGGTAAGCAGAAACAACAGCCTTCCACTTACTACGCTCCTGACACACATTTTTCGCCTCAACAATTAAGATGATAATGTACTAAATTATTCCGATAAACTTGTTTTGTATAGCAATTCTTCGGAATAGGTTTTCCCAGAGAAGACATCAAATGTGTAGCTTGAAGTCAGGCTTAAGTTTTTGTATACACGATTTTATTTTTCAACCTGTTACTCACACCTAACCAACCCAACGTGTTACTCAAAATATTAAGATCTAATTAACAAATATAATTGATATTTTTTTCTAAAACGAAAAACTTGCTGCATTGAGTAACAGTGGTACGACAAAAACGGCGACTTAATCCACCTACGTATAAACCCGTTAAAATGATTGCATTAGGTACGTTACATTTAGGAACCACTATTAATTATTTTTATTTTGGATAATAAATAAAAAATATTTTAAAATATTTTACATAACCCTGTGTCTCCCGGGTACCTGAAAGAGCGTTTCAGCTTCCTTAGGTCCCAGGATAAACCCTGTCGCTCTCTTGTTAGGTCCCAGTTATCTTTTCCATGCTTCAATTCCGGTTTCTATTCTCACTCCTTCACTGTTCATGCGGTCAGACTTTGGAATGCACTTCCTATTACTGTTCACGAAAGTAAATCGTTAGGTATTTTTAAAGTAAGAGTTAAAGAGCATTATTTATCTACTATTCCATCCATATCTTAGGTATTATATTATAAATATGTATTTATCTAAGTATTTATATAATTTATAACAATTTAATATGTTTATATTATTTTTATTTTTTTCTTTCTTGTTTTGTTGTGCACATATGCCCGTTCTTTTAGTTATAGTGTCCTGTATTTAGGTCTGCAGGAAGAAATTTCTATTAGAAATAAGCAGAACCTTTTGTTTTTAATTTCGCTTGTATTCTTTGTGACATGTTGTATTTTTCCTGTACAATAAACTATTAAATAAATAAATAAATAAATTTTAGTAGCAGTAGCGCTACTTATGAAAGAGTTCGTACAGGGAAGTACTGCCACCTTACTTATTTCTGCCGCCAAGCCGCAATGTAAGTATTACTGCATTCCGGTTTTGAAGCGTAAGGATGCTGGTGAAATTACGGGCACACGGGACTTTTCAACTTATGTCTCAGGATGGCAGGAACAGTGACAGTATCCCTGACATCTTTGCAACTTAAAGCTCTGAGTGGCGGAACTGTTAAGGACAGCGTGTCGCTTAACACCGGGCGCCCGACTTGTTCGTCCCGTTATATAGTATCATAAAAATAATACTCTTTCATAGGGGCTATCGGTAACATTTTTGACTTGTAACTAATCATGCCTTTTTTTGCAGTGGCTTGCTCAACGGTGACTGTAACCAAGTGCCAGGCGGCCCTGCGAACCCTTCAAGCGTTTCCGTTCTTCAAGCCAACCTGTCTCTGTCGCGAACCCAACGTCGATCCTGAATGCAACTCCTTCCGCGATTTCCTGTTTGATCATCCCTGCGTTTTCGTCATGAAGAAGGGTAAGTTCAGGAACGAGTTTACTTCCTCCAATCGACCCAAACAAGATCTTGGCATTTGACTTTGGAAACCACCACATATCATTTTTTATTTTATTTCTTTATTTATATTCAGGTTACAAAGTCCCATAAATACGTACCTTATAGACTAACATACATAATAATACAATAAAACACTAATGCCTAATTATTATTTACACGTATTGTCTGCGATGTGTGACGCAACGTGGGTGTCTGGTAGCCGGCCTCGATCATACATGACACCCTTCGGCCTAAACTCAAACGAAACTAACTGATGGTATTTTCCGAGGCCTCCAATTTACGATGTACTTGAGCAAAACTCGCTTTTCGGGACGTGATATCTTTCAGCAGCCTGGTAACGTCGACATGGTTGAACGTTACAAGAGGCAGCTTATGCAGCTCCTTCACCACGAGAGCAGGCACGTTGGCTGGTTCGGTCTCCTTTAACAGTGTGATGGTGTCCTGCAGGCTCTCCTCATCCCTCCGGCATGATTGCATCTGCTCGGCCTTGCCAAACAACGCCTTGCCACTGCAAATCTCGTCTGACTTGAAATTTGTATTGTATTTTAGGGTATTGCTGTGTCTACCTCGGTATTGCAGAGCTTCGGAGATGTGCGCATTAGCGAAGTTTATTATTTTTAAGCAACAATTCGTAAAAGATGTGCTTTAACTAGCGCGCAGGGTTAGAGGCAACAGCAATGTTCATGAATCGCTGTTGTGCGATTTCTAATGGCATCGCGAAGAGGTGATTGAATCCTCATCATCATCATCATATCAGCCGGAAAACGTCCATTACTGAACATCCCCCCCCAAAGATTTCCAAACTAGTCGATCGGACGCGGCGTGCATCCATCGGTTACCCTTACCATCTAGTTCGTCCATCTAGTAGATGCTCGTCCCACTGAACGCGTACCGTGGTCTCCTTTAACGCACACACTCAACGCACACACTCAACATAGCCCCGCACTAGGGAAACCCTGTGTCGCGGGTGCCATGAACACACACATAGACAACCACAAATTACACCCAAACTCACGAGAGAAATAAATGTAAAAAAAGAAAATGTGAAAAAAATGTAAGCCATACAAACATTTCTCCCGGCCCGGGAATCGAACCTGGGACCTCTGCGTGGCAGTCCGGCATGGTAACCGTGCGGCCACGGAGCCAGTTGACCATTGACCATTGACCACTGCCACTTCAACTTACTAATACTTTGAGCTATGTCGGTGACTTTCGTTCTTCTACGGATCTCCTCATTTCCGATTCGATCACGTAGAGAAATGCCGAGCGTAATATTATCTTTTGTAATCATCTAATGTTTTTTGTTGGTACTCACCAATTTTAGATCAGATACCTACTTAAAGGAATTGCCAGAAGTGTCCACCAACCACCAAAAATTAGAAAAATGCCAACCACCACTGTTACTGGCTTTGTAAACATTCGCACGTTTCGCTTCAACTTTCTGAGTTAGCACATTTGACTTCACAAGTTTGAAAGCGGCGACGGTTTTTGCGCGGAACAATTCCGCGCAAAAACTGTCACTTTTTAATGTTCTCGAATTTCAAATTTCAGATTCCCTATGAAAGGTTCTATAGTCTTCATCTCTTGTCGGTGTTTCGTCCTCCATGGTTTCCGTACGCTTTTGCTCCTTTTACATTTACAAATTTATCTCCTACAAACACAAATTATTATCGATTTTTGATTGCAGAGAAAGACCCGTACCCGGTAGAGACCCTGCCAACCTGCACCTATGCTCTGAGCGTCTGCCACAGCGAGAAAGCCTGCGCGGTCCTCTTCGAACGCTACAAGAACGCATGCAAGGCTCGCGATGGGGAATGCCGTATGGAGGACAGGTAACATGATAGTGGTATTCATCTAGAAACCTCCACAAAACCTCTCTCCCAAATAAGATGTAGTAAAAAAAATGTGAACCATGTCCAAAGACAATTTACGGTAATATTAAATAAATATAAATTTATAATATTAAGTAAATATTGCGTATATACTCAACAAAAGCGTGTGGGATCAAGTACGTTTTTATCAATGACTGAAAATCAGGTTTTTTTAATTAATCCTTATTAATAATAATTAATTAATTATAATAATTAATTAACATTACAGTGTTAATTACAGTCCTTTTCCACAGCCAAGCGGTTCTTCAAGCGGTCTTACACCCCAACTGAAGTAGCGCAAACTATGAACGCTATTTTTATAACACTAAGTGGTGGAACCAACACGTAGTGCGCCTCTCAGAGCTTTAATTCGCAAAGGTTTGAGGTGAATATTTCGTAGCAAAACGGCGAAGTAACTAAGATATTCCAGTACCCACAAGCTCGCTTCTTGATATTCAGTGGCAATACGGTTCAGAGCTTTAAATTACAACACGTGAGGAGCACGGCCACTGCCCCGTCACCTTGCGACATAAGTTGAAAGTCCCATGTAATTTCACCAGCACCGAAAAGTAGATTACTGCGTACTGCGTTAACGTTAGCTCACATTACTGCTTAGCGGTAGAAATAGGTAAGGTAGCTGTACTTCCCTGGACGAACTCTTTCATAGGGTTCTACTGCTACTTTATGTTTGTGGTGTAAACGAAGTCACTGTCACAGACGCGAAAAATTTTTCATATGTCTATGTACTCACATAAGCCTAGTGCAATGCGTGTGCGACATACGCAAATGTCCCCGTTCACACGGCGTTGTACTGCACGTTTTTTTAGTAAATGAGTAGAGTTCCTTGTGAAAAAGTTCGTTCAGGGAAGTACTGCCATCTTACCTATTTGTACCGCCAAGCAGTAATGTCAGCATTACTGCATTCCAGTTTTGAAGGATAAGAGTGCTGGTGAAATTACAGGCACATGGGACTTGTGAACTTATGGCCCAGGATAATGGGCGTAGTGGCAGTGCCCCTCAGATCTTTTTGATTTAAAGCTCGGAGGGCCACTGATGCTGTTATGGACAGGCGTGTAGCTTACCATCAGGCGCACGACTTGTTCGTCCCGTCACTTAAAATTATTTTTAAAAAAGTCTTACCTAATAAAAAGTGGCGCATACATTAGAAATAGAACCGTTCACACAGTGTTTGTCCTGCAAAAATACGCACACAGCTGTATACGTTTATCGAATACGCAACGGACTTGTCAAGCAAATCGAATTAATTTTAACGTATTCAGTGTGCAGTGGCATATAGTACTAATGCATCTCTTTCACACGGCGCGAAGTCATACGTTTTTTAACGAATAGAACAAGCCGCGTCTATTGAAGTATCTTTTGGAAGGAAGGCACGCATAATTTAATTAATGCAACGATTTATTTATTGATATATTTAGCAGAACAAAAGCCCGTTTTGTGGGACAAAACTGTGAAATTGTATAAACCCAAGCCTGCGGCCAAGCCGTTGGCGTTGTCTATGCTAATGTAAAAGTGCAACAAAGAGTGGATCCATCACACTACGTGTTCTCATAGCGATTGCTGTGTGAATACTGCGACTATTCATCTTTTAAATGCTCGAAAATATATGTGAACACCCCGCTGTCTATCCGTTTATAATCGAATACCTTTAAAAATGCGCAAGACAATGCCGTGTGGCCCAAGGCTAACATGGCTAGCGCTAGTTTAGGCGCGGTGAAGCTCAATCGTGTAGACGGGCCTTTGGAATACCATTTTATTTTAATTATACAAACAGCTATTTAACACTACGTTTAAGCTCCAATATATTCAACAATAGGTGGCGATGTAGTCGTTATATCATGAAATGTTTGCGAACCTTCTTTTTAATTAAAAATTGAATTTTAATTAAAAAGATCAATTCAACAAAATTGACCCGTATTTTCTTTCGTCCACCTTTATACCTTTCTTTTGTAACCAGTTACGACAGGAGACTCTTATTTCCTTTTTCGTAGCTCGTGAAATCGTAGAATAAATATTGTTTATTAATGGCTGCGAAAAAGGACTTCCTCTTTTCCATTTCTACCTTAAAAATATGCTATTAAGATTTTTATCTCATAAGCTGATCCTACAAAAGTAAACAATGATAACATTGACTTACAATTATATGGACGTCGGGTCCGCGCTAAAAAGTGTCCGCACTTGTAAGGTGCTAAAATCGTATACAGAGCGCCAAACTCCGCTTTAGTCTTCATTTGTTCGACTGACAGCGCGATACTGCGATGACATTACAATTTAAATTTCGAATAGGTTGACTTGGGACATTTTTTTCGTGGTTTTTGTATTAGACCCGTCGTCCATTTATTTGTAAGTCAATGAATGATAAGTTCTTTTTTTAAAAAAACAATGTTCTCGCGTAAAACATTCTTAACGACACGAACAAAATATACGTAGTATTTTCAAAAAATCTGGTCCATATTCAGTTCTTGGTATTAAACCAGAGGTTAATTAAAAGCCCTCAGTTTGGAAGCCACCAATATCATTAAAATATTTTCTCAACTAGTTTACAAACTTCTTCTCGGAAATTATTAAAGTAGAAACTGCCGTTTTAAAGCCAGAACTTTGAAATGAAATGGAGTCTTTTTAATGTAAAATGCAGATTAAAACTTATTGCAAATAAAATCATGGCTTCTAAAAGCTGAAAACTGCAAAATGCTCGAAGATGCCAAACTCACTTAGTGCATAGATTTCGAACTTGAAATCCTGGGTCCCTGGCGGCCACAGGCGAATCTGCTCGCTCTATAGTTTTCAGTACGTATCGTTGAAGCCTCCGGTGATCAGGGCTCGTGACGAGGCTAGTAAGTAAGTGTGCGTCTGATGGTATGCGACACGTCTGTCCATAACAGTTCCAATGCCAATCGGAGCTTTAAATCACAGATTTGTGAGGCACTGCCACTGCGCCCGCCATCTAGAGACATAAGTTGACAAGTCCTATGTGCCTGTAGTTTCACCAGCACCCTTCAAAACCGAAACGCAGTAATGCTCACATTATTGCTTGGCGACAGAAATATTTAAGGTGCCAGTACTTCCCTGGATGAACTCTTTTACAAGGAGCTCTACTGCTTTTAAATATTTACTATACTATTTCCTTTATTTAATGTTAAGAGTCTATACCACCTCAAATGACTTAAGTCGCTTGGAATTGACAAATCTCGTTGAAATAATCCTTCTCAAGACCTAAATCTCGATAAACTTATTCTTCATTTTTCATCTACGTCTGAAAGGGGTGCCGGCGGAGTTCTGATGGATTGTATTGTAGATTGCAATCCACATTTCACATTAGTGAAAGCGTGTGCCGCTGCTGGTACCTCTTTGAATGTTTTATAGACCGCAGATCTTGCTTAGTGAGTTTGGTAGTTTAAGTGGAAATAAATCTGGTTTTATAAAAAATGTTTTAAAGATTTTTTGTGATGTTTTAAATGTTTATAGCACAATAAATTTTTGGTAACTTGTAAAATGGTTCAAAAAAATTAACGAGAGATGTGTTCGCTACCGCGATCGAGCAGAGAGTGACGATGGAACAAAACAAAATCGGAAAGTGAGGCAAAAGAATGGAACAATTCAAAATTTGAATTAAAATACGAGTGTGAGAATAAAATAAGAAATTTAAATAAAAAGGTGGGATGACGATCAAAGAGGTCACACCGTCACAATACCCGGGGTCCAGAGAAAAAAAAATCATTCAAGATTTTTTTTGGAAAAACTAAGTTAAAAGAAGGGGTAATAGGAAGAGAAATAGAGAAGGAAGGAAGTAAGAGTAATAGTAAAGAAGGGATAAAGTAAGAGTAATAGTAAGAAGAAATAAAGCAAAAGAAATAGCAAAGAAGGAATAAAGCAAGAGTAATGATAGAGGAGGAATATAGTAATAGAAGGGAAGGTAGCTAATTTAGTATGGTATGCTAATCAGAGAATTGGAAGTTTAAATGAAGATGCGTGACAAATTTAGATGTGAATGATAAATAATGCTATTTACACTGGGTAGACTTCCCATTTCATACTACATTCACAAAAACCTTTCATACCCATTTCATACTACATTCACAAAAACCTTTCATACCCATTTCATACTACATTCACAAAACCTCTCGTATTCCCGCACATATACAAACCTTTCAAAATAGAGGAAAACCCTAACTAGAGCAAAAGAGAGTTTCTCACGAAGCCGCCCACTACGGTGCAGGCTTTAAATTGTGTTGGTCACCACCCGCCAACATCATGAAATTAGTGATATGATGCTATGTACAAGTGGTTCAATGCCCACTGACCTGTACGCCTAGGTACAGCAGCATGTCAGAGACGTGAGAACCTTGTAAAGGTTTAATTAGAAAATAAGAAATCAGGGAAATGAAATAGGAATATATTGTAATAGTGACCTAAGGGTAATTCAAAGAGTAGTCAACCGCTCCGAAGAAAAAACGAAATTTGGAAAATAAAATGAAATCGAAAAAATATGATGGTGATGAATATTTACATTAGATATGTTTCTATTATTCCTCTTGGCTTTTCGCAGTAACGTTTTAGGATATTTTCCAAACTTTGATCGATCCATCGTATTAAGAAAAAATTACAAAAGACTTTACAGGAACTGGAACGGACTTTACAGAATTTACAAGAAGAAAAGTAAAAAATAAATTTTGGCATTACGAGAAAAATAAATTTGACATTAAGTCAAAAATTTTAATAAACGAAAAATAATTATGTCAGTTATAAAAATTACAAAATAATAGAAGGACAAACTCACAGGACATTGGCGAAATCGCCATTTTTTTGTATAATTTTTATAATAATATTAAACTACCGTACATAGTTATTTTTACTTGACATTGGCAAAATCATTGATTATTTCAATGGAGCCATAACATTTAAAAGAAGAAGAAGAAAATAATAGAAAATGTATTATGAAATTTAGAAAGTTTTATAAATACTACAGTGAGATGTGGTTATGTATTGATATTATACATACATAATATCAATTCAATCAACAGTGTATATTGTTGAGGAGTAGTAGTGACTTGCAGGGATACTCTCCCTAAACAAGCTGTAAGGACTTGTGAATCTACACGTGGGTAGAGATATGAAGAAAGTGTATTGTTGGAGTTTCTGGATAGTTTTGTGTTTGATAAAGACTGTGCTTGTAGTGCTACCGGTACACCAACTTTGGAACAGTTACATTTGTAACCAGCTGAATGTAACGCAGCAAGCAGTCGTCTCTTGTCTGAAATATGGTATGTGTTGGTGATTTGCAGTGTACAATGAATTATGTAATGACCCTTTTCACAATTAAAATATTTCACTGTGTTATTAAAAAAAATTCACTATTTTGATTCTTCATTTATTCCTTCGTTTTCTTCCAATTTTTTTGGGCGCCAGTGACGAGCTCTGGTGGAATTCACATTAGTGAAAGCGTGTGCCGCTACTGGTACCGCTTGGAATGTTCTGTAGACCGCAGATCTTGCTTAGTGAATTTAGTAGTGTTAAGAAAAATAGTTTCATTTCCTATGTGTAATAATCGCGAAAACCTAAGAACTCGATAAACACAAACTTACCTCGAAATTTTACAATAAAACCACTGCATTCAATAGGTGCGTTACATATACCACAGATTTTTTTGTATCAACTGTACTAAATAGAACACGATATACATTTTTCGAATGGCTTTAATTTCGTTTGTAAAAAATAAATTCTAAAATAAATAATCCCTGCCGCTCGACCAAAGAAAAATTAACCCCCTTTTAGTATGTTAGAGATGAGGAAGTCTATACTCTTAATATTTGTTACATCAACAATAAACTTTCCAATTCAGCTACAATTACAGTGACAGAATATAAATTTATCCTACTACCTAAGCAAGACCTGTCTCAAAGCGACCAGGCAGGTTTAAATCCAGCCAGAACCATTAAGCTTTTACAGTCTCCAAAATAACCTCAGTACTTTGACCTGAGCTAAAATAAACCCGACCAATGTATGCCCGTAAGTGAGGCGTTAAACAAAGAGCTCCAAGTATAGATTTAGAATACCTGTAACCGAATCACAATTTTATCCACAACTGTCGGCTTTTAGATCAAATATTTATTTCCACTTAAGGCGGTGATAGAATGATTGCTTTTCAATTCGGAAGACGATAGTTCGAATCCTGGTTGTGGAAAGTGCCTATGACATCACTTTCTAAGTTACGTACAATTTGTTAATGTTTAGTAATAGTGATGGAAAATATCTTCCTTTCCTTCTGGGCGACGGATAAACGGTTGATGACGATGATGATGGAATGAAGAATACTAAATATATGGAAATTAAAAAAGTAAAATTACAATTCTTTAGAATTATGTTTTTACTACCATAAAATTCATCAATCGAGTGAAGAAATAGATTTCTCACAGATGATTCGTAAGTTCCCTTAGTGCGTTCCGTGGCTTAGTTGGCATAGCGCTTGCCACGGTTTGCTGGAAAACATTGGTTCGAATCCAGCCTCCATCTTTGCATTAATAATTATAACAAACTAGTGGAGTAATTTCACAAAAATAATTAGATGTCATGATGCTCAAATATCGTGACATTCAATAAACTTAAAAATTACAATTATTAAAGCGACATCTATAGTCAGCTATTGGTAGCTGTAAAGGTGCCTGGCTGAGTTATGAAATAGATTTAGAAGAGAGATTTAGAGATAGAAGAAATAGAAAACCAAAAACAAAGGTTTGCAACAAGCACTTAGAAAAATTCGTAAGGTCCGCTAGTTCGATCCGAAGCTTAGTTGGCATAATGTGTGGCACAGTTTGCTGTAAGACGTTGGTTCGAATCCAGCCGGATCGAAGGATTTTCTTCTAAGCTTTCGATCTTTGTATTAATAATTATAACAAATAGTGAAATAACTTCACAAAAATAATTGAATATCATGGTGGTCAAACACCACCATTGTTTTTTTTTGTATGATACGAAAAGTTTAATATTCTTTGATACAAAAAGTGTTGAACCAGATATCAAAAGTAGTCCTGGTAGACGTTTTCTCTAAAACTCAACTCCATGTAAGCCCATCCGTAGTATAGTTTTATTTCGGCCGAAGTAGTCCCGATTCTCGAGTCCCGAATCCTCAAGCCCCAAATTCGAAGAAAAATCTTAAAAAAACCAATGCTATCGGACGGAATTGAAACATGAAAAGAATTGACAAAATAAAGAGTTTTCTTACAATGTTCTTCTTGGGTATTTCATCTTTATTTCTCGCTTCTTTTTTATATGTTTCTTTCGTTCAACTTAATCGGACCATTATAGTATTTTTTTTTCGATTTTCCAGAGAGGCTTGCCGCGAAGCCTGGGCCGGTCTACGTCTCTCACCACTCTTCGGATGCATTTGCCCCAACACGCACATGAAGAAACGTTGCGATCGCATCTTTACCGTCGTCAACCACAACCCCTGCGTCGGTGAGTACGCACCTTTATGTTATCGCTGAGCACTATCAACGGGGTTTGAGTGAGATATTCCCTTTTTTTTTCTTGGATATAATTAACGTTGTTTTATATGACTGCGGTGGTAGCAAAAACAAAAAAGAACTCCAGATTTCTTGTTACATCCTTTTAGTCTCATGAATAGAAACAATAAGGAGATAGCTATATTTGGATAGAACAATACATATCAATATAAAGATGCTCGTATTCATGGCGATTCAGCCGGAAGAATGATTTTAAAAATGTACATACCTTATTTAAAAAATAAACTAGGGAACATCCACTAGTACTCATACAAGATTTAATTTGGTCCATGTTCTTTCTGAACTTCATGTTCATAACAAACAAAACGGCAATAATTACGAAATCAATTCATTGATAGATACAATATCTACGATAACCGTAAGTGGTGTATGAACTATAACTACAAAGTCGGGTACGCAACACAGTATAGCGACGTAATACATCTCGTCGTATGTTCAGAAGATTGACACCCGCGTTGAGGCTGTTTTCAGTTATTAAAAAAAACATTCGTGAAATAGATTTTAAGACTTTCATGGTTATTCACTAAATGATTATCACTAATTACAGGTTTCTTACCACGATTATATATGATTTATTTTTATTTTCCGGAATTTTCGGAACGATTACGGCTGTCATCTACCGCTGGTCAGGCAACCCGTGATCATGAAGCGTGTAACCGTTACGAAATATCGGGGAAAAAAATTATAACTTTATTATAAAAAACCGACCTCGACAGTTTGTGGAATTACATCTATTTGCCAAGTTTTATTGTAATCGGTAAACGGAAAGTGGGTGAAATCCAATAAACCGGGTTCATTTCCTGATTTACCACCTTTTGAAGTGGAATATTTTCTTCAAATTTGAATGGGACCAATAATGAGGTACCCCCTTTCCAACAAAAAAGAATCATCGAAATCGGTTCACAAATACAGCCGAATTAATAATAATAATAATAAAAGTTTTATTTCAGGCTTAAGCCCATAGAGTTAGTTACAAGTTATCTTAGAACTAGTGTTAGTAGGTTTGACAAAAATAAAATAAAACTATAAATTACTGCTTGGTGTGAAGCTGCACCCAATGTTGCAACATTGGGGAATCCCACCGGTCTACAAACACACTCAGGAGTCCGTTGTTGCTGCAGCGGAGACGGGCTAACATGGAGGCGCAGCGTTTTCTCATTAGAGCAAAGAAGTCATCCACATGCGCCTCTGCAAACATCCCCGAAGCACTGCAGCGCCACGGCAGCCCCAACAGAACCCTGAATGCGTTGTTGTACTGGACCCGCAGGTCTCTGTATGCACTCGCTGTAAAGCTGACCCAAAGACTGCACGAATTGAGAACGTCCTCCTTTTTTGAAATCGGTTAAAAAGAAATTTTACCGTTGTAAGAAATCTGTAATTAGTGATAGTCATCAATTCGCGCGCTTATTTACGCGTAAAAGTTTTACAAGACGTTCTCCAAATACAAATACTATAGAACACATCATATCACATCAGCATTTAAAGGTAATAAAAGTTTGGACACATTTAGGCTCAACTCACAATAGAGCACAGTCGAAGCATCGCGACGCGTCATGTTTTTCGGCTATAGCATATTCATCTCTATTCACCCGTCACAAGGTACAAATTTGTGTTATGCAAATATAGAATCGCGTGTCGACGCCATGCGTTCCTTGCGCGCAGTGAGGAATCCCGAGCGTGTTTTTCCCTTAAATTGTGCTCCCTGGTATAACCGGCTTGGGTCAGATTTACTCTGGCTGGGTACGCAACGAGCACTGGACACATTTATGCAAAACCTTTTGTATGGCAACAGAACGGTGATATAGCATCTTAATTGTATTTCTCTCGTTGAAGGCTCCACACCAGACGGCTGGTAGCAACATCGGCTACTGATAATCTTAACTATAATAAAAATTGCCAATCTCGTGATAACGATGCCCACTGTATCCCTATTAATTTAAGTAGAAAAAAAGTTTGTATTTACAAGAAAAAATACTAAAAGATACTTTTATCCAAAAACTTTTGTATAACAACAGGACAGTGACTTACTTTCTTAATAGTACTTTCTTAGAGAAATTATTAAAGGACATGTGGAAGAATTACTCCATGTTTGCAAATGTTGTCGGTTAATCTAGAAAAATCGTTCAACGCAAGCGAAAATAAATCATATTTTCAGCGTGCAATTCACACATTACATTGAGTACAATGAACACTACCGATTTTCATACGGCAATAATAACACAATAACGCACTCACTCACTGCCCCACACTAGGGTAACCATGTATCGCGGCTTCGCGAGTACTATGGACACAACATAGACAATTACAAATTACACCCAAACTCACGAGAGAAATAAATGTAGGTCTTGCAAGGCCCGGGATTGAACCCGAAACCTGTACGTGGCGGTCCAGCATGATAACCGTTCGGCCACAGAGGCAGTTAAAAGCTGGCTATTAAAAGCAATATTTAATAGCCAGCTAGAGTTCTATGACACTGAAAACTGTTAAACACACTCCTGTACACATGAGTTTACAGTGTTGACGGTATATATAGCGATAGCGACCGCGTGAAATATTTGTAAATGTTGTAAGACAAATCGAGCAGCGTCCCTCAAAAAACTAAAAGATTACAAGTACTTTATGATAGTAATGAACGATACAGTAAAAGTTTTTTTTTTATGATACCAAGTACGAAGACGGGACGTACAAATCGTGCACCTGGTGGAAAGCGACATGCCTACCGCAACTCAAAGCTTTAAGCCGCAAAAACGGGCACTACCACTGCGCCCGTCTTACTAAGACGTGAGTTGGCAAGACCCAAGAGCCTGTAATTGCACCAGCATCTGTATACTCTCCAAAACCGGAGCGCGATTCTTACGAATCTATGTGGTTGTTAGGTCTGTGTATTGAATATTCAATTTTTGTAATATATTCTTATTGCACCAAATAATATACCAACAGAAATAATAATGTAACAGAAGGTGAGCAAAGGTGGAGTTATCTCTAAAAGAGATCTCTTCCAGCCAACCCAGGGCATTAAGAACTAAGGTTGTAAGCGAGCAACAGCGTGCAAGAGACAATGAGAATAAAATATAAATACACTACTTATATGAAATAAAAATAAAAATATCATTACTTACATAAGTATTATGATGAATCATAATAAATAGCATTACACATAAATATATACACATAGGTACAGATACATAAGTAAATATGTGAAAAAAAGAGAGTTCAGCAAGAAAGTGCACTGTCAACCTTTTCTTGCAACAAGCATTAAGACGAGCTAGACTGGATATGGGAAGGGAGTCTTTTCCACAACGGAGGCGCTGCACGAGAAAAAAAGGAGTTAAACAAGAAATTTGTTTTACAGCTAGGACGAACAAGTATTGTAATGGTCGTTATATGATTATTAATAACAATCTAGTGGACTATTTTCACAATAAATAAATATCGTTATTAGAAAAACATCATGGTATTCAATAAAAAAATAGTGTGTCTAATTCTGCTCTAGCTGTCTAAAAATCCGAAATGTACGTATACACTACTTGTTACCGATGTTATTACGTATCGAATGTTTATACCGTCTCTGTTGAACTATTTTCATTAGTTAGCGAATCAATATATCTCATTCTATCAAGTATTATTCAATAAGCACTCCGCAACTACTGTAATGGACTTGGGTCGTGGCGGCCTATTCTCGTTCATTTCTAAAGATTATTCTATACCCAAAGGTATGAAGATTAAACTTAATGCCTATTTTTTATTTGTTTACTTACGAACTACGAACAAAATGGACAATTAAAATAAAACATAAGAATTTGAACAATAAATATTGTATAATCTGTAACATACATAGTATAATAAGACTAATAGGATAACTCCACACAAACGTAGCGACGTGGCTTTTTAAAAAAGGAGGTTCTCAAATTCGGCTGTATTTTTTATATGTATGTTACGCGATAAGGCATTTGTGAACCATTGGATGATTCTTTTTTGTTGGGAAGGGGGTACCTTAGTACTGATGCCATTTAAATTGAAGAAAATAGTCCATCTCTAACGATAACAAACTAGAAGATGAATTCGGGTTCGCGCTTTTCCGGTAACTGATTTCAATAAAACACCCTGAGACACAAGGTGACAAGTCCCTTGTGCCTGTAATTTCACCAGCTCGCTTACCCTTTGAAACTGGACGGTGCATATACTTAAGCTTACAACTCGTTAGTAAAATGTAATGGCCCATTAAAAAGCAATAAGCAGCGCTATTAGTATGGAAGCACTTTCAATTTTACGGCATAAGGTTATAAGAAGGTAGTTAAGGTTATAAGTTCAAACCTTAGCGTGAACAGCATGTTTAAGTCATTACTGATGTGCTATTAGATCTATATAATTAACCGATTTCCAAAGAAAGGAGGAAATTATGTTACGCGGTAACACTGGATTGTGATTGTAAACCGATTTTGAAGATTCTTTATTTATTGGAAAGAGGGTACCTCAGTTGTGGTCCCATTTAAAGTTGAAGAAAATATTCCAGTAAAATTACTTTTGAGGTCGGTTTTTTTAGAACTCTGTACTGAGATTATTCCATCATTTCTTTAACTGCAATAGAAAGCACGTGATGTGATTTGAAACCTAACCTACTCCGGCAGACACAGAACAGTTTCTACTAACCATCTATCAAACAAGATAAACGAGTTTAAGCGGAGGCGGAGGATACCAATGTTACTCTCTACGCCTTATTCAGTAAGGCTTAATTTATATTGCTGTGGAATGGAATGGAAGCAAATTTCGACGGTTGCAGCGAGAATTCTCCAAACATTTTTGCTCGTATCTAATTTGAAAACACAATTGACATAAAGTTCATTATGCTATGCTTACAAAACCTCGCGTCCATTCCGTTCCGCGGTAAAGTAAATTGAGCTTTAGCAGACAGGTACGTGTAACGATTATAGT